AATGAGGAGTCTGAAACCTCTCACCATGGGTGTGTCTAAATTCAGAGGCAGCATCTGGGCCTACACACCCATCCTGTCAGTTCCCCAGAATACTTTTGCATTCTACCGGGCACCCAAGAGGTCCAACACCCAGAGGCAGAGGAGGTTACATACTAGAAGCAGAAGCCAGAGTCATCCTTAAATCAAAATGCTGAATCAGTTTCACTAGTGGCCCTCCGTCCCCTATTCCTAGCAACTGGAGAGAAGTGTTCATCCAATCAAGTAACTTATTCCTGACATGCAAATTTGTTTACTTTGTGGTTAGTTGTGGGCTAAAACCATTAGCAAGTTGCTTTTATTTTTATGTAATAAAATGATGGCGAAATATATAATGTATTTGAAGGCTTTTGCATAAGTAATCTTATAAGAAGCATCGCTGAGAATCTGGAAGTTAAAGGAACCAAAAAGCTTTGGGAAGAAAAGGTCACAGATTCTACAAATTCACACAACTTACTTGTAGAACCACCCTTCAGGTCCTCTGTCAGAGCCTATTTACTCTAATTTTAGCACATTTCAAATGGGTGTGGTAGTGTGTTTAAATGGTTTCCCAGCCCACAGTAAGTCAGAGGTAGCAAATTAGATAAGAGTTGGAGGAAGCACTCTGAGGCTTCAAGACGTGACAGCTGACAGGCTAGCTGTGCGTAAAGAGACTGAAAAACCCTATAAAAAGCAGGTAGAACTCAAAAAGAATTTGGTGCAGGTGCAATTACTCCCAGATGTCATGCATAGTGCAAAAATGATGTTTACAATGCTGACCCTGAATTATTGAGAAAGGTTAAGTATGTCCAGGGTAAGACATTTTAGAGGATATGTGTAATACATTTTAGTACGTGTTCCACTAAAATAAAATTCAAAAATGAAAAACAGCATTGGCATTCGAACATAGAAACTTTAGTTTTCTAAACCATTGACCGTTTGTCCCTCGTGTCAGACAAACTAGGCATCACTGAATTTAGAATTTTAAAATATCAACTTTTAAAAGGTGGTTTTATATTTGTTTGGAGTTTTCAATATGGAGTCTCTGAACGAGCATAAAAAACCCAATTTTAAAACAAACATAGAACTCCTAGAATAGCGTATTTTTAAAGAACATGCTGTGCATGTTTTCTAGTATAAATCCCATCTTAATCACAGAAAATATGTGATCATTTCCCACATCAATCCCTTACTTAAATTCTTCTATGAAAAACGGGAACTTCCATGGGACTTTAGCATGCACTGTAAATCCATCTTGAACTTGTTTAAAATAACAGTGAGAACAATGGGTGGGTCTAAATATATTGAGCTGAGGGTCCCAATAGGTTAAGAATTTTTGTTTAATGAAAAATATCAGGTTGCTACCTGAAGTAGAATACCATGATCACAACAGTACAGCCAGCTTTTGGCAATATAATGGTCTTAAGTCATTCACGAGAGCTCCGTTCATTTCTAGCTAATGTAAAATCCTTCGTGTGTTTGCCCAGCCATGTATCTCCAGAGGCTCTGCTGGCAATCACTTTCCATGGAAAGGTTAAGAATTGACCTGTGACATCGAAAGGAGCAGGCTGAGCCTCCTTTTACATAACTTTTGAACAAATCTCAGGTGACTGGCAATAACCAAAGTCATGGCCTGGATGGCCAGAAACAGGGAACTAAATGAAAAATAGTTTCACAATGATAGGAACTAAAACTCCAAATTTTACATAGCTATTAAAGTGTTGTTTCTAGTGCCTTGAAAACGTGCTTAAGGTTAGCTCTTTGGAGGGGAGGGAAGGGCCTTTTTTTCAATTCAATATAAAGTTTGCTAAGAAATATGTGTATATAAAATTAATCTTTTAAAAGATTACGTAAAATATATGTATGTAAAATTAAATTTTTATGAGTATAATACTATGCTCATAAAAACATTGACTCAAGATTCATATTTGCCTGAAGTTGGAAAATCATTTTAGCTGAAATTTCACCACTACAAGTATAGAAGCCTCTTTAGTGAATTATAATGACTTAAGCCTTTTAATTCATTAAAATAAATCAATGACCAGAATAACATTTTTTTCAGATTTTAGATGCAATATAGGTAATATTATTTTTGCATTTCTGTTCTAACTTTATCTTATCATGTTACCATATGGGTACTTGGACTAAATAACTGACTTATAAAATCTGGCCCAACTCTGAAGTTTATCTCATTCTACCAAAATTATACACATGCTAAAAACATTGTATTATCCTCTGATTCACTCTTAATCCTTTTTGGTTATGAAACTAATATTACTACAGTAGTGGCATCAAAATATAGCTCAAAATATTTGAAATGCTGTTTTTCCCATTCTGATTCAGATAATTTTTCTAAAGTTCAATAAATTGACAATGCTTGAAAATCCTACATAGTTTTCCAGTGTTAATTTCAATTTCCTTTGTTCTATGGTTTGTTACAAAGCTTCATGAAGGGTGCTCAATCAAGTTCAGCTTACTTGGTCCAAGATACTGCAATGGGAAGTAGTTGACTGACTGAGGGATATGATAGAGCTGGCCGCTAGTGCTAGTGCTGACTCTAGGTAGCTCTGTGACCTTGGGAAGATACTTAATATCTCTGGGCTTCCTTTCTTTTTTTCCTATGAGGAAATGCAGGGGACTGGATGAGCCCTGGCTCCTTCTGGCTCCACACTGTTACGACTTGCAGTTCAGTTGCCACGAAGTCAGCAGAGGGAGCACTTTTTCTACATCTTATACAATGTGACTCTCATTTAAACATTTTTCAAAAATCAAGGGGGTTGTGAAGAACATTCCTGAAACTAAAAGCTGACAATCCTTCACTCAGTTTGTATCATTGTCACAGATTTGAATGGAAATTTGAGAAAAATCTAGAAATTATTTCTGATCCTGGAATTCCATGATAAAGTCCCATGACAGAATTATTTTATAAAAATTAAGAAGCCAAAACACTCTCATGTTAAGCACCCCTATGTGATCATCTATTTATACAAGACCCAGTGAAAGAGAAACACCTGACCATACTAGAGAGGCTATCTGATGTCACAGACAAAAAGTGAAAACCTTGTCAATCATTAAAACAATAGAAAATTGGGTCTAACATAAACAAATCACACAAGTTAATTGGTAGGTTTTTCTTTTGCACTTTTCATTAAGATACAGTGGAAACAAGCAGGTAGACACAGCCAGAGCCTGGAGGCTTGCAAGAGATTGGAAATGTGTGACATCAAGCCAATGACAAAAAAAGCTGTATATCTGAGAACCTCAGTGATTTGTATCCCTACAGTCATAGATATCTCAAAACTAATTGAGGATCCATTGTCTTTTTTAATTATTAGACAATATCATACCGTATATTAAAGTTTTTATTCCTTAGTAAGAATTTTTAAATCACAAAATAGTGTGGCAATATTTAGGTAATAGAATTTATGGAGTGCTGAAAATACTAGAATATAAAGATAATTTCTAGTTTATCTTCACATACTAAACTTTTCTAAACCAGCTGGTTTCTTGCAGACAGTATTTATTTTTTTAAAATAATTTAAGACAGCATAAGCTTGTACCAAGCATAAGCGTTGTAACAAAAGTGCAACTTTTCAGCAAATCCTCCCCAAAAGATATTTTAACTCAAAATATCATTAGCACATATTTTCTCCCTACAAAAATAGCATGTCAGACATCATTAATTGGATGTATTAACAACTATGTACATAAGAGCCACCTTGTAGGCTAAGAGTTTAACGTTGTTTAAACACAGCGTTTGAGGCAAACAGTAGCAACAGCAGCAGCAAATGCACCAAACTGACGAAAAGACCCAGATATTTTCCTCACTCATAGTCAGACTGTTGTGTCTCACCCCTTACATAACATCCAAGTGAGATTTCTCACAGTGCTACCTTGGCAACAAACTAAAAATATCTAGACAAGGTCTTGGTTTAAGCCTTATTAAAAAAGCTTTCTTTGTGATTATCTGGTATCTGGTTTGGTCTCCAGAAAATACATAGACTTGGAGATAGGAAGGCCTCACAGGACTTCATTCCATATCTTTACAGCATTTCCAATCAAAATTGACCAGTTAAATGCTTTCGTTCACTTTTGTCATTTAGCAGAATATAGGATATATCAGTTTGGACTTTTGTTTTTAAGTTCAGTGCACTTTTTTACAGTAAGATTACAAAAATTTAGGAACATGATGGATTAATGAGAGTGGGAATAGATGCACTCGAGATCTGTGTGTATAGATACCTATCTATGGATAAACAGAAATTTGTATAGATAAAGAAATTAAGGTGAGTCCATTGATTCATGGTCAATTTCTCAATAAAGTGTTAGCAAATGTACTAGGAATGATTCTGGCCTTCTCATCCATCACCTTCCCTGACTTAGTTCTGACGATGGCCCAGCTCCGTGTTTCTTTAACAAGTGCAAGTTACTAAGAGATACCATTTAAACCACTTCAGAATAAGTTGCAACGTGAGCAACTGCATCCTCACTTCTTTGAAAAATAGATGCCTTTTAGAAAGCTGAACATTAGAAAATACTGAAGAGTAAATTCAATTCTAAAAGATCCTCAATCTGTTTGTGGAAAGTCTCCTAAAACAGGCAGGGCAACTTTGAGAACTACCTCTACATAACAACTATCTGCTGTTCCATGTCAACTTCAGTCAAAGACGTCAAAGGTGTTAACATGTTTCCCCTACCCCGGGGTTCACCTAGCTTACCCATAGAACAGACCCTTCTGACTTCCTCTCGAATTAGGTTCCAATTTTAAGAGATAATGGAACATGGCCTAAAAGGGGACAAAACTTATTTGGGGGATTATTAAAAAAAAAAAAAAAAAAAGAAGAAGAAGAACCAATATCTTTCGCAGAGGATCTTTTACAGCTGGTGGGGGAAAGAAAGGGATGTTAGTGTGTGGAGGGTGGGGTGGTGAGGGATGAGCAAAACAGGAACTCCAAATGTACACATAACACCTGTTTTGTTGTTCTTGTTTATGCCTGTCGTGCATCTATTACACTTCCTCCCTTAAAGACGTTAAGGGTGTTTTAACTTCTCACTCCGCTTGAACCTCCGTCCTTTGAGACGCAAGGATTCAGGGTGCTTCCTTTCCTGGCTGCGAGGGATCTTCCTGAGCAGAGCTCTCCGGGTTCCCCGGCTCGCGGGGGCCGGCGAAGGGCAGGTGGGTGCGGCCGTGCGGGTGTTGTGGGTGCGGCGCCCCAAGGGGCGCCACCTCGTGCGGCAGGAGGGTCGCGGCGGCGGCGCCCGCCTTCTCGGGAGGGGGCGACAACACCGAGGACAGGCAGGGGAAGGCGGCGGCGGCGGCGGCCGCGGCGGCGGCGGCGGCCGCGGCTGCGGCCGGAGCAGGGATGCCGGGGTATAGCAGTGGGAACGGGGCGGCGGCCGCCGCCGGGTACAGATACTTCTCCAGGCTGCTCTTGTCCAGGAAGGGCTGCACGTAGGCGGCGGCTGCAGAAGGCGAGAGGAAGCAGAAGGGCAGGCAGAAGGGGGCCGCGGCGGCCGCGGGCTGCGGGAAGGGCGCGCCCCCGCCTCCGCCGAACGCCACCAGCGAGCTGAGCAGGGCGGCGTCGGGTCTCAGCAGCGCGGCCGCGGCGGCAGGGTCGGGCCCCAGGAGCGCAGCTGCCGCCGCCGCCGCGCCGCCCCCCGGGCCGCCGCCGCTGCCGCCGCCGCGGGTATCCAGCTTCATCCTCTTGGGCGCCGGCAAGTCCTCCCCGGGAGGCTCCTGCTTGATGGTGACGCGGCTCGCCCCCGCGCCTTTGCCTTTCTCGCGGTCCGGCCGGGCCTCGGCTTCGCCGCCGTAGCCGCTGTCGGTGTCCGTGTCGTTCTCGGCGGCGAGCTCGGCGCTGGGCTGAGTCCGCTGGATGACCGGCACGCAGTAGGCGAGGGGCTCCAGCTTCTGCCCCGCGCGCTCCAGGCAGGGGGCGGCCGCGGACCCGGCGGCCGAGGGAGCGCCGGTGCCTTTGCTCAGAGGGACCTGTTGAGTCAACAGCTGCGGGGTGGGCAAGAACTGGGTGGCCACGGCGTGCAAGTGGTTGATCAGCTGGACACACCGCGGCTCCCTGGGTGTCCAGCTCTCAAACCGGGAGAGGTATTGCAAGACTTCTTTGGCGCATGTTTGAAATCCCGAGTGGAACGCATCCAAGTCGGACTGAATGGGCGATTTCAGAGATCGCTCCCCTAGGATGAGGAAGGGATGGGGGGGTAGGGACGGAGGAGTGGAGGCAAGAAGAAACATACCCACGTTAAAACATCTGCTTATCACGTGGGCCCTGCATCGACTAAAGTGATCTCGGTTTTTCCCCAGTATTCAAGTGATATAATCCACCGGTTGCCGAGAGAAGGGGGGTGGCGGAGGTGCGGAGCTGGGAGAGGGCGCTCTCCTCCCAGCTGAAAACCAAAGTGGAGCGGGTGCAACCGCCACTTTAAAACCTGATTCCTCCGAGTTCTGCTGAAAGCCTCTAGGATGCTTCGGGAAATGGGCTCGTTCCAATGAAGGGAAAGTATAAAGCAATTTAACAAATGAGAGGGAACCCATGAGCCCACCGAAAGAGGTGGGGTGCAGGTGAAGGAGTCCTGACACTGCTCCCCTGTGGGCTGCCCCGCTTCATCAGGGTAGGCTGGCCTCCCTGAACTGACTTACCATTCTGTAAAGCAATTATCTTCTGATGCTGTTGCTCGGTTAAGGCGGTTAAAGCTTTTAGGTGTTTCAGAGTTAATTCCAAGACTACGGCTTTCTCCAGATGCCCCAGAGTCTGCAGTAGGGCAAAAAAGAAAGGGGCACTTGGTTACTTAAAAAGCACACATTTGGCTTAATTGGCTGTCCATTCAGCACAGCAATTTAAGCAAACACTTTCAAAGAAGTACTATTATTATACTTCTTGAGCTTTCCACAAGACAGGTTATAAATGATTTCTTGCCTTCAGCTGGGAGCACCGACTCAGTTTGCGGGAAACTCTGTACGGTATAGCACAAGTTGTAAATCAGGAACTTATATTTACATTTATTCTTATATTTTCTGGGAGTCGCACCAGACTATTAAAACGCCCTTGGAGAGCAGCAAAGAATGAAAATGTGCATCTTACTGTCAGTTTCAGATGTTCAGGCAGTAAATCTTTCAGCTGAGCAATGCATTCATTAATTCGGTCTCTTCTTTTCTTTTCTATTAATCTGTGCGGTAATTTGTAGGTATCCTTAATATATGAGAGTCATGGAAAAGAGAAAACAGTAAGCGAAACATTCATTTATTGGATATTACCCTCGTCTGTCCCTCCCCGCCCCCCACCACCATAAAACATACTATGTGATAAACTACACCCAAGAAACCTCTTTCCTCTGGACTGTTCTGCAATGCAATTTAAATTCAGGTATGATGTTTAATATCCCCTTGAGAGTACCCAGCAAGCCACTTAAAATTCACAGTTGGGGAAGCTCAGGGGCTGGAATATATTTGCAGGCAGAGCTTCGCTGTGAAATCAATGGCCCTAATTAACTACCCATGCAGGTTATGAAGAATATCGGGAACTTACACTTACCTTGGTATCGTCTCGTTTCATGCTCCTTTTGGGTTTACACATATACAAAGAGGAATAGTCCAGTCTGCAAAACAGAAATCAGCATCAGGCACCCATTCGGGGAGGGGCTCTGCCCTCGCCAGCTCCATACCACTTTCTGGAGAAGAAAAAAATCAAACCAAAGCCTAGACAGATAGTCGCAAGGGTGCGTGCACCTTACCCTATAAAATCTCTATGTTCCAGTAACTGTCTCTCTTGCAAATGAGGAATTCCTTCGTCCATGTTCAACTGCTGTTCGTTTCCTCTGTTTCGATTTTTGGGGCTCTGTACAATAATCTGTGGGACGGTAGGCTTGGGAGATCTTGGGGGGATCTATGCGTCTCCAGTCTCTCTCTCTCGCTCTCCCTCTTCAGTGCAGTGTTGAAAGTGTGAAGCAGTTGGTCCCCCCTCCACCACGCTCGCACACACACACGCACACACACGCACACTCGCGCCGGCCCCACTGCGCTGGTAGTTTGCTCTCACTCCAGGCAGTGTTTGGCCACAGGGCACGCGCGTCGCCGGCCAGACCAGCACCCAGCTCACGTGCGGAACGTACCATCCGGGTCCAGCCCGGAGGGGGGCGGGGGAGGAGGGGCCGGGCCGGGAGGGGGCGTTGGGAGAAGGCGGTGAGAGAAGGCGAACTGCAGGAGGGGGCGGGGACACCTGATCAGGGCCACCGGAAAGGAAAAACAACTTCGGCCAAGCTATTCATCTTCCCAAAGGCGATGCAGTCGGCAGGGGGAGGGGAAGTGGCGGTGCGGGGGTGCGGGGCAGCCTGAGCTTCCTTGGCTCGGAAATGCGACTCCCTGGGTTCGTCCGTTATTACGGTGCAGGAATGTGAACGTGGCTTTTTGCTTTTCCACCGACTGTGCTGTTGGTTTGAACCATAGAAAGGAAAGAAAAAGAGAATTCGCGGTGGGTAAACTTGAGTCCCAAAGGAAATTTTGGAGACTTGTTTGCTCACTGATCAGTGGGGCGGAGTGGTTGCCTCGAGAAGCAGCAACTTGCAGTCCGCTCCTTGAAGGATTTAAGACACATGAAAACGTTGTCACCGGGTCCGAATGTCGCAATCCAAGTGTCTTTCGGTGACACGGTGTTCCTGGGCCACCTAAACTTCCCCGCAATAGCCGGAATTGCGGTGCCACTAATCACAGCAGCAGATGACGACGTTTGGAGCCGCGTGTGCTCCTGGAGGAACGCGGCGGGGAGCGAGCCGGGGTTGAGTGGGGGCTGGGGAGGGAGAAGGGGGTGGCACGAGAGGGGCTATCACAGAAAAGCTATGCAGCATTTATCACCCGCCCGCTCAACTCCGCCGCGTTCCGAGCCTCCGGTGACGCTACGTGCTTTCCCCATCCCCCCGTCCCCCCGTCCCCCCGCGCGATAAGAGACGCCCGGAGTGTGCAGAGCCCACGTTTACTACCGCTGGCACCTCCAAAGCCTCCCTCCTTAATCCTGTCTCAAACGGGTACCAGCACAGGGCCAGCAACGTGATCCGACCTGCCGCTGCTGCCACATCACTGCTCGGGGAACCCGTGCGCGCGCGCGCTCGCCTTGCTGCCCCGGCGCTCGGCGCTGGGAAGCACAGGCCAGCAAGAGCCGGGTTACCTTTCCCCAGAGCCACTCCGGGAGCCTGACTCACTGCTAGTGAGAGTTACCAGGAGGTGCCCGGGGATGCACACTGCCCACGCCGCCCTGCGAGTCCAGGGGAAAGCATGTCTTGAGGGACTCCCAGGGGTGGGATGGAGGGGATATATATATTTCTCTAGATACACATAAAAGCATAGAGATAAAACCAAGGTTTTATCCCGGGGTGATCTCCGAAACACTGATTATTGCCAGTGATAAGTGAACCGAGGGGAGAACGCCGAAGGTACACGCACCAGGGCGCAGCAGGGACTGGGGCGCCCGCTACGTGTCCCCCAGCCCGCCCCGCCGGGCACGGGTTCCGGGGACGGATCTGGGTCGCGGGAAGCGGCGGCTGGGAGGAGGTCACGTGTCTGCGGGAGTCGCGTCTCCTCCCCGACTCCAGGAGCAGCCCAGGCCGCGGCGGCCGCTCGCGCTGCTGCAGTCTCCGGAGTCCTGGGCGGAGACGCGCACTGCGTCTGGCTTCGTGACTCGGGCGGCGGCGGCGGCGGCCCAGGATCACCCCGGCGTGAGGAGACGCTCGCGGTCCGTTCAGTTCATCTGTTTAGAGGGCCTTTTAAGGTCTCTGGAGTTCCTCAAATAGGGGGACGTATTTTGCACCAAACAGAACAGGCAATTTAATCACGATGGTTCTTAATTTAAAAAGTATTTTTAAAATGCCGACTTTATTTTAAACCTCCGTCCGACCTCTGTCCTATTTCCAAAAGGTTAGGTAATTAAGACCCTTTAATGGTGAGGGCACGTTGGAGACCTAAAAGGGACCCATTCTTGCAGTACTGTATCATTTTTACCTCTTTTTAATTGATTAAAAATGGGAATGCCGTTAGGTGAATAATTTAAAAATTAAAACACCAGTTCCCCTTCTAGATTTCCGAATGTTTGGAGTAGAAAGGGGATGCAAACATTTGCTCCAGAGCTAAATTTCACTTGAAAAGGTTGACTGGTTAGGGAAAATGAAATAAAGACAAGATCACTGCATTTTGGCCTTGTTGGGCTAAAAACACAAGGCAGACATCTGACCAGGGCAAACCTTAGAAGCTAAGTCTGGGGCAGAGATTAAATGCAAGTTGGAATAGGAGGAACATGATCAGGAGGAGCCTTGAGGCTCAAGGGTGAGTTAAGTAAGCTTGCAGCGCCCCATAATTTAAAGGGACAAAAAGCTGCAAATGACAGATGAAACTTTTATCTGTTATCTCTTTGAATCTCCTCTTTCCCCCATCCCTTCTGCTGCAAGCTTCCCTACCTCCATACCCATTTCCCGCGACACCGACTCGAACTGCAAATGCCGTCTTTTCCCATTTTTGATCTCCTTTGTTGTTCTCGGTCCCCTTTTCCTGTTCTTTTCTGTCTTTCCTTTACGTACTCACCTTTTACTCATGTTTCCCATTTTCGTTTCTTCTTTATCTTCCTTTCCCTGATGTTCTCTGTCTACCTTTTCCTGGTTAAATGCCAGCTTTTGCCCTTTCTCTGTAGTTTTGTTAATCTCCTGTTTGCTTTTTGCCCTATTTTTCTTTGATCTTTCACCCTGGCGACTCTTCTTGCTTACCCCCACTTCCCTTAAACTTGAATCCCACTCCTATTCTTTCTCAAACTCTTGGCTTCTGGAATATTGGGCATAGTTTGATGCCTCTGAATATCCCTTTGCTGCAAGAAGGGTGTAACAATAGCTAACAACTATATAGTCTTTAGGATTAGAGTACCAGACTGCATTCAAAGAGCTTTTATGTATTAACTCATTAATCATTTCCACAACCCTCTAAGGTAGATACTATTATTGTTTCCATTCTACAGATGAGAAAATGCTTACAAAGTGAGATTACGAAATATTTCCAAGGTCCCAGAGCCAGGATTTAGGCCCAGACAATGGGTTCCAGAGTCTGGACCCTGAACTCTTACCCCTCAATGTGAATAGTGAGGGGGAAGGTGTAAGTGTTAACTAGCTGCTTCAGGGATGTTTTTCTATTTACCAGTATAAATGTGCACATTTGTGTGTGCCTGTGTGTGAATGAACTTGTGTGGGGAGTTTTGCAAGAGAGATGGAAAAGGGAGAGATGTTAGCATTGGAGCTGATGACAGAGATAAGAAAAGCTATGACAAAAAGAAGGGAGGCAGTCTTTTGCCATGTCAGTGAGTCATTCAGTTGGCATCTGGGTTCAAATTTATTGATTTAAATCCAAATATCCTAATTAATTGTTATAATTTTGTACAGATGGACAGATGGAAGTACAGTTTAGAAAAGGCTAATGGCGACCAGCTATCCACCAGCTCTGCTGAGCAAACTGAGCCAAGCTCTAATGTGAAGACTTCAGGTTAGCAACAGGAAAAGTTTACCTGTGGTGAGGTTAGAAAGGGAAAAAAGTACCCTAACAAAGGAACAGAAACTGGAATGCCGTCTTTGGATATGTTTTAAAATAGATTGAGTCTTATCTTTTTAGGAAAGCTTAATGCTATCCTGCTGAAAGCCAAGAAGATACAAGATGAGCTCAAAGCCCCATTTGAGCTTATAATTAAAGAATTTTGTGATGCTTTGCTTTCAATTAAAGATATCCGTCTTTCTCCTTTTAATAGGCGAGGGGTAGCCGCTTCCATTGCTTTTCTTTGGTTAAGTAAGGAAATCATTACCTATAGAGACGCTAATGAAAGGAAATACTAAGGCCAATTCTCCCCCCTGCCTAAGTATCCTAAGTCCTGCACTCATTATATTCACCCTGTGACTTTAGAAGGTCTTATCCTGTTTGCAAAGTCTTGGATTTCCAACAGAAACAAAACTCACCTGAAAGGATTAAAGTTTCCATGGGGGAATAGAGGGTTTTCTGCCTCTTTAGGGTTCTGCAAGCCCTACTGCCCTTCTGGATAATTAACTCCAGGGTGTTTTAGGAACCGAAGTCTGATCCAAACTAACTGTACATCTCTGATGGCCTTAAAGGCCCAAGATCTGCTTAGGGGCGTAGAGTCTCCTGCCTGTGATACTGTGAAAATGGCCCATCTGAAGGGCAGAAGCCATTCTTGATCACCTCTGTTTTAGACAGTGGACAAGAATCTACAGACATTCTATATCAAAGTTAAGCAGAGTCCACAAAAATCCAAAAAAGTTTTGGGTTGATGCTAAAATCAAGGCCTGGAGGGGACGGCAGGGTGGGATCTGGACTTACAAAAGCTTCCCTAGGAATTTCTGCTCTTGGCATGCACACCTGCTCTCAAAGGAGAAGAGTTAATGTTGTGGGGCATCACAGAGAGAAGAGTGCCTCAGAGAAGGATTTAAGGAGGGACGGCAATTCCACTGCTACTTACCAGAAGCCAGTATGACTTTAAAATATTGATGATGTTATTTGCTGAAAGTACCAGATTTTAAATCCCAGAATAGAAGATTGGGTTTTCCAGTTGCATACTCAGCAAATGAGCAGAAACAGCACACGTGTCCCCTTTTAATTTGTAAAGGAACGTAAGTCTTTCTGTAGACTATCAATTAATGTGTCTGTGGCCATAAACATATCTATGAATCATGTTTTATATTTATGTAACATTGCTCAAGAAGTTTATGCACTTATTAGTCTTTGCGTAGCTTCAAGGAGCAGATAAATATTGAGTATTAGAAATAAATTTTATTCCTGCTGAAATCATTTGTATTTTCATATTTATGTGGCTATCAAAACAATTTATGCAGGCTGTTCTGAATTTCATGTGTGCTCAACATTCCTGGAGTTCTTAACATACAAAAGACAACTAGGAGAGAGCCAAGCCCAAAGACCACAATAGGATTCCCTGGCCCTTCTGCCCCTAAGTATCTGCCTGGTCCCTCATGGTGCCCATGTGCTTCTCACACTGATTGAGGTGGATCCATAATGAAACCGGAAAAGTAGCATGAGGAGAAGATGACAACCCCGTAAGGATTTTCACAAAGTGTTCTCCACCATTTCTCTGGATTCTCCTGGACTAGTTGGATGGTGGAAGTCTGCTGAAGAGGGGCATGTTTCCCTTGTTACTGCTGATGAAAATTCTTGGAAAAATCTTCCAAGAGAAACATGCTTATACAATATGAATCACATTCAAATAGAAATAAGATACACTAAATGCCCACTTCTCTCACCCCACCACTATGGGCTCCATAGGGTCCTTACATCAGTTGTCAGATGGTGTCCACCTGGTGCAGAGAGCTGTCGGTAATAGATACTTCTTCCAACTTTAAAGGTACTTCTACTTTAAAAAAGCAACAACAACAGAAAACTAGCTAAGGAGGGTTAAATCTAGACTTACAATCAAAACTATTGGTATAAAACTTTTTATTTCACAGTTAAAGCAATAAATCGTATATAACAATTACCCAAAAAGTGCTATGGTTCTGGTGTTAACTTATAATCACCATTAGTAAGGAAACTGATTGAAATCTAGGATGTGTATATTAGTTAAGATCTGCATTTTAGCCAAAATAACAGCAACTTAAATTAGGAAGTTATTTTTTGGTCACATAAAAGGAAGGTAAGCAGTCCAGGAGTAATGTGAAGTGGTAAAAGTGCCATCAGTGTCCCAGACTTATGCTTTTCCACTTTCCACCAGCGTCCATCTGCAAGATCACCCCATGGTCAGAAGATGGCTGCAGGAACTCCTGCAGGGAAGGATGAAAGACCTGCCAGCTGGCCGGGCGCGGTGGCTCAAGCCTGTAATCCCAGCACTTTGGG